ATGTACTCGCAACTGCACTAGCAAGAGTTGCTTACACATTTCACAATATACAATGTGGCCAGTCACAAGCAGCTTATACTTGAAGGGGTTCTACCAAAATTTGATTTCTATGTAGACAAGGTCCTCTAACAACTCTTACGCTTGACTTTTGTATCAAGAACTTAGTGCTAATTGTTTTTAAAAACTTTATTAAAATTTCATCAACTTTTAAACTAATCAAATTTCAACTTTATCATATATTTCATGGAACCCACAATTTTTTTTATTAGTTTTTCAATCATACAAATAACAACTTTAATCAAAATTTGTTAAAATATTTTTTCAAACAACCTCTAAGTATATTTCCGTATTGAAAGGGTTTGATCAAAATTGACAGGTTATTGCATTCCTTTTGGCATGGGCAGTTAGTGTTGATTTCAGTGGAAGTTTTGATATTAAAAAAAATGATAAACCAAGGTGGGGCAAGAGAAGATGAAGAGACTTCGAAAACGAACAAATTTCTCAACAAGGACAAATTTTCCAATAATCTGCTATTCGTTGGATTTATTTGCATGACTGTGCTATGCATTTGGTCGTCTATCTGTCTCTCTAACACCAATAAATGCCTTTTTAAATGAGAATCAACCTTTTGCAATGAAGATCGGGCATGTTTTAAGTGTCTTTTACGTTCATATTATTGGTTAATGATGACGCCGCTTATTCTTTTTACACCAAAGAAATATAAGATTTTTAAGACAGTTGATGGTATTGTTTGTTTTCGTAATACACAAAATACATAAACTTTTACATATTGGTTATGTTGATATATTCCACCAATTGACACTTTTGAAGGTCAATTAATTCATCAAGACAAATCGTGATCCGTTCTTTCTATATGTTTACTTTTGAATCAATGAAGGATAAAATCACTAGGTTAGAGAGGAAAATACGAAGATTAATACTAAACAAACCAAAATCAGGAAATTTCATATGCTCTAGTCTTTAGGAAACGATTTTGGAAATAAATAAGTCAAATTTTCAAACTCTCTCTCTCTT